GCGGCTCCGCTGCACGAAGCGCCGGGCGTGGGCTTGATATTTTTAGGCAGCCGGCAGCAAGTGATTCGGGGTGATTCATGTCAGAGGCGACGGTGGCGAGGGAAGGGGGTGCCCAGCCCTTGGGGGGGTCCTTCTGGCCAGCTGCGGGGGGAGATCTGCAGCTGGAAAAAGTCTTTGTGGTCCCAGTCGTCAAAGCAAGGCTGAATTCTGTCCACAACGCTGGGGTTGAACCACCTTCAGGGTGTGGGGATTTGAGTGAAACCCCTGGAGATAGAGTCATAGGATCATAGAATCACAGAATCATAGAATGAGTTGGGTTGGAAGGGATCTTCAAAGATCATGTAGTCCAACCCCTCTGCAGTGAGCAGGGACATCTTCAACTAGATCAGGTTGCTCAGACCTCTGCCCACCCCAGCCAGGGAAGAAGCCTCCATCATCTCTCTGGGCCACCTGTGCCAGTGCCTCATCACTCTCATAGTAAAGAACTTTTTTCTACCACCTAATCTAAATCTACCCTGCTCTAGTTTAAAACCATTGCCCCTCATCCTGTTGCTACAAATCCTTGTGACCAGCCCCTCCCCAGCTTTCCTGTAGCCCCTTCAGGCACTGGAAGGCTGCTATAAGGTCTCCCCAGAGCCTTCTCTTCTCCTGGCTGAACAGCCCCGACTCTCTCAGCCTGCAAGGGTGAAGGTGATGACCCACTGAGGGGTCTTCAAGCATGGGACCCCAGGATGGTTTCCCTAAATGATCAGGATGCAGCCGTGCCAACGGTCAGCCCATGTCCCTCTCCCAGCAGACACGGTAGACCTCACCTGGTGCGTCATCTCCGACATGGAAGTCATCGAGCTCAACAAGCGCACCTCAGGGCAGTCCTTCGAGGTCATCCTGAAGCCCCCATCATTCGATGGCATCCCTGAGTTCAACGCTTCCCTGCCCCGGCGACGTGACCCATCCCTGGAGGAGATCCAGAAGAAGCTGGAGGCGGCTGAGGAAAGGAGGAAGGTAGGCCTGGTGGCTCGTGCGCAGCAGTGCAGCATGGGGACAAGCAACCTTGCACTCTTGGTGCTCACTCAGCAAGGTAGACCCATCCTTGGGCATTGTTGCTGAGTTTGGAGAGGGTGGTTTTGGCCAGGAGGGAACCCGTGGCCCCCATGGCCATCGCGTCCTCTTCGCTTGTGCAGTACCAAGAGGCAGAACTGCTGAAGCACCTGGCAGAGAAGCGGGAGCACGAGCGGGAGGTCATCCAGAAGGCCATCGAGGAGAACAACAACTTCATCAAAATGGCCAAATTGAAGCTGGCGCAGAAGATGGAGTCCAACAAGGAGAACCGCGAGGCCCATTTAGCGGCCATGCTGGAGCGCTTGCAGGAGAAGGTGAGAGCCCCGTCAAGACGGTGGGGGGATGTGGTGGGACACCGGTCCAGGAGGGTGTCATGGGACACTTGGGTACCCTGCATGGCTCTTGGGGTGGCATTAGCCCCTGGGGACACCACCAAAGTGGGGACTCTCTCTTCCCTTCCCACCACACCCAAATGTAACACCCCACCTGGGTTTAGGCATCCTACCTGGGGACTCATCAAACCTGGCACATCCATAGGCTTGTGAGCAGTTGGAGGGTGGAGAACTGGGACCCAGATCTCATCCAGTGGCGTGCAAAGCTTTTGCTTTCACCGTGTCCCACCATGATGGCCTTGACCTACCACTTGCCATTCTTCCCGATCTTCCCCTGGTCCCTTCCCCAGAGGCCATGGAGCCATCAGCTCCCTGGTGGAGCTGGAAGGGTCCGTGCTGCCACGCTAGGAGATGTTTCCGCCCTGCCAGCCTGTGCAGACCTCTTCTCTCTCCCTGAAGCAGGTCTGTTCCCAACCTCAGCACGGAAGGTCCCACCCTCACCACCTCCAGCTCCCTCCAAAACATCCCTTCTGCAAGGATCTCGCCCAGTGCCCTTCTCCAAACGCCTCAGCTAGCCTTGGGTCAGAGGCAGAGAGCACGAGATAATGAAGGACAATCCGAGCTAACCCCATCTCCTTGGGGCTCCCGGTCCATCCCGTCTGGTTGACGTCTACCTCCTAGCTAGAGGGCAAGGACAATCTGTCCCTGAGTGCCTCCACAGTCCTTAAAACACCCCAGGGGAGGAGAGGACGCTGTTGACCCCATCGGTGGTGTCCCTTCAGGGGATGAACCTCGTGAACGCCCTCGTGCCTTCGAACCCCTCCGAAGCTGCTCGTCAACCCCCAAAGCCCGCCGAGCTAACGCGCGCGTGTGTGTGTGTGTGTCCCCCACCCCTCCCTGCTCCCTTACCCCCCTCCTCTCGCAGGACAAACACGCAGAAGAAGTGAGGAAAAACAAGGAGCTCAAGGAAGAAGCCTCCAGGTAAAGAGGCGAAGGTTGGACTGACAGCTCCGGGGAGGTGGTGGAGGCTGCCGCAGCGCAAGGTCGGATGGTGGAAGGATGGAAGTTCCTCTTCTTTGTTCGTGAATGTAAAGAGTTGACCAGTGAAGCCATCCTATTCGTTTC